TCTATCGTGTCGTGGCGCCATTTTTCCTCCACGCTGGTAGCGCCGTTGACCCTCGCGCGAGAATAGTCGTCGACGCATCGCACCTGCGCTGCGGCGCGCGGGCGCGGCCGACGCCAGGCCGCGCGGCGCGCAAGCCTTTGGGGAGCCGTCTGGCTCGTTCCCCTGCACTACTGAGAAGCGAGGTGCAAAAATCTGATCGTGCAGCGCCAAATCGTCGACCGGCACTGGCGACGTCATTCGCCCGAGCGCGGCGTCCGCCACTGCCCCAGCATGCAATTCGGCAGCGTGAGCGTCGTCGCGGAGACTAGCAATGATCGCCGCATTCTGCGCTTCCGCGCGGCCCATTAGATCGCCGACGGGCTCGCGCTCTTCGCGGGCCACGCGACGCTCGGCGACGCCAGAGGCTGGCAGCGCGCCCACGAACGGCGCCCCTTCGCGGAATAGGCGCTCAACGTCGTCGGCCCAACCGATCTCGGTCGCGATGGCGCCTAGGGTCGGGCCGTCGACCTCGGAGACTGCGGCTCTGGCCGCCACGCCCACGCCGTCCAGCCAGGCCCGCTGGGCCCCCGAACGTCTCGACTCGCGGCAGCGCGCCTCTATGGCTGTAATCGCGGCCTCCTTTTCACCGAATATCTGCCGCGCGGCGCGCGCGGGGTGGCGCGCGCGAGTTGCGACTGTCGCGCCCGCTGGCAACTGCGCGACTTTGCCCAGTCGACACAGGCGCGGAGATCGTCGTGCAGGGGCGCGGCGTCTTGAAACCACGCCGTGCCCTTCGACGCGGCATTAATGACAAAGTCGATATTTGCCTTGTCTTCCCCCTGCGACGCTGCGGCGCTGGCGCGCGGAAGGCGCGGGGCATCGCGGCCGCGCTCTCCGCCTCGGCGCTGGACGCCAATTCTTCAAAACGCGGGAGCCACGAGCCCGCCGCGGCACTGCTTGCAGCGTTCCGCCCGTCAGGTACTGGCGCGCTCCGGTCTTCCGACGGGCACATTGCCCCAGAGGCCGTCACTGGCGCCCGCGCCTGCCGGCCGACGGCCCCCAAGGGTTCGGGGCGCCCGCGCGCGACGGAAGCGCGCCGCGCCTGTGATGCAGAGAGAGACCTGCCATCTGGCAAATTCGGCGCGGGTATGCCCGCGCTCTCGCGCTCCGCCAAGCCTGGGCGCGCTTTCCGCGCGCGAGCGCGCGCTGCCGGCCGCGCGACGGTGCTCGCGCCTCAATCCTCGCGCTTGCGCATCGGCGTGCGCGGCTGCTCTGTGCCCCGCGCTGCGTCGTGCGTGCCTTTGCCCTTCGCGTGGGCCCGCGATTCCCAGGACTTGCCCCAGCTCTTGGGCCCCCAGGACTTGCCCCAGCCCTTGTCGCTCTCGGCATGCTGGGACTTGCCCTTGCCTTTCCCCTTGGACTCCGCACGGGGGGCGCCCTTGCTGCTGCCCTTCTGCTGCCGATCGGAGAGGTTGGGATGCCCGCGAGCCGCGCACTCGCGCTCGGCGCGTATGTACAGGCTCTGCTCTTGCTGCAGCGCGTCGCGGTTGACGTTAAAGGAGCTGGAGCCACTGGCGCGATCGGCCCACTCCCGCCTGGCCAGCTCGTCATAGATGACCGCCAGGGCTGTGGACTTGCGCACCCCGCGCGCCTGCCCGCAACGCGCGCGGGCGGCGGCCGGCCTCGGCCGCGAGACCTGGGAAGGGAGTTCGCCTGCAGTGCGATCTGCGTGACGACGTCCCTGTGCGCCATCGCGGCGGCCAGTTCAATCTGGCCCGCGAAGCTCGCGGCCAGGGCCCACCGGTCGAATGCGACCGACCAGGGCATGAGCGACAGCCCTCGCGAGGCGGCGGCTCCGCCCAGAATGCGCGCGCCGAAAGAGCGCGCCTTCTTTGTTCGCGCCCGCGCCGTCCTGACCGCCGCGCTTCTCCACCGCCCAGTGTGACAGCCACTTCTTCAAATCGCTGTAAATGAACGGTCCGGCGATCCCCTTCGCTTGGGCCGCTTTGACCTGCGCCGCTCCGAAGCGCCGCGTGCGAACGCTGAGCGATACACCGCGCGCGCGCGGGCGCCTGGCTGTCGAGCCAGTCGCACGACGCCGGCGACGGCCAGCAAGCAGACGGCAAATCGCTGAGGCGGATGTCGCCCAGCTTCGCGCCGATGTCGACGTGCGCGGCCGCAGTCGGCTTGCGCGCGAGTGCGTCCACTAGCGCAGCGACAGGGTCATTCGACCCCCGCGCCGCCCCGTCGTCGCCGCGGGCGGAAGCCATGCGCCCCGCCTCGGCCCCGGCGGCGTTCTCTGCGGCACGCTTGACGGCACGGTCGAGGAAGGCTACCTCCCCACCGTTGAGGCCGCCCTTGTCGAACGAACTCTCATGAATGTTGAGCCCGACTAGGTCTTGTTCAACCTGGCACGCGCTGTGCGCGACAGACGGACCGAGAAAGCGCGTGGCGCTCGCCGTGACAGAATTCGCGCGAAGTGCTGCAATGACGTCGCGGAGGTATTCCTCGTCGCGCTTTGCGTGCGCGTCGACGCCAGACAGAACAGCTTGCAAATCCGCCATGGGTGCGAGCGGGCGCCGCCTGTGAACGCGCGACGGGCGCGGGGCGCGCGCCCCAGGCACGCACAAACCTGCGGTACCTGCGCGCGGCCGCGGCGGGCAGCGGCCGCGGGCGGGGGCGCGCGGGCCTGCCCACATCGCCTGCGGCGCGCCGCGGCGCGCGCGAGCCAAGCGGCGGCGCGGCGACTGCTCGCGCCTGCGTCCGCCGCGTGCGCCTGGGGCCAGCGAACGTGTGCGATGGAACCAGGGGCCGAACTCGTTCCATACACAAACTGTTGTCTTCCAACGAGGCAGTTCCCTCAATGGAAAGAAACCATTGCAGGGGCCCGTGAAGAGGGAGCTTGGAGGGAGAGTTAATTCCAACAACGCTGGTGACTCTTGGGTTTCCACTGGTCCTCCTCCTCCTCCTCCTCCTCCCTCCGCCTCCTCCTCCTCCTCCTCCTCCTGCCTCCTTCTTCCTGTCCTTGCTCCTGCTCCTGCTCCTCCTCCTCCTCCTCCTCCTCCTCCTCCTCCTCCCTCCTCCGCCTACTCTTCCTCCTCCTCCTCCGCCCTCCTCCTCCTTTCCTCTCCTCCTGCCGCCTGCTCCTCCGCCTCCTCGGCGACCGAGGGCAGCCAAGGTCGGGGGCGAACCGAGGGCGAGGCGGCCCGGCGCCGGGGCCCCACGAGACCGAGGCTCGGCGCCACCAAGGGGGGCGGCATGGTGGGAACTTTTAATTCAGCGCCCACACCGAACCGGCGCTCCTCCTCTGTTCCTGCCCTGCTCCGCTCTGCTCCCTGCTCCTGCTCCTTCTCCTGCTCCTCCTCCTCCTCCTCCTCCTCCTCCTCCTCCTCCTCCTCCTCCTCCTCCTCCTCCTCTCCTCCTCCTCCTCCTCCTCCTCCTCCTCCTCCTCCTCCTCTTCCTCCTCCTCCTCCTCCTCCTCCTCCTCCTCCGCCTCCTCCTCCTCCTCCTCCTCCTCCTCCTCCTCCTCCTCCCTCCTCCTCCTCCTCCTCCTCCTTCCTCCTCCTCCTCCTCCTCCTCCCTCCTCCTCCTCCTCCTTCCCCTCCTCCTCCTCCTCCTCCTCCTCCTCCTCCTCCTCCTCCTGCGCCTGCTCCTCCTCCTCCGCGGCGACCGAGGGCAGCCAAGGTCGGGGGCGACCGAGGGCGAGGGCGGCCAGGCGCCGCGGCCCCCGAGACCGAGGCTCGCGCACCGCAGGGGGGCGGCATGGTGGCACTTTTAAGTCAGCGGCCACAACCGGACCGGCGCCTCCTCCTCCTGTTCCTGCTCCTGCTCCTGCTCCTGCTCCTGCTCCTGCTCCTGCTCCTGCTCCCCCTGCTCCTCCTCCTCCTCTCCTCCTCCTCCTCCTCCCATCCTTCCTTCCTCCTTCCTCCTCCTCCTCCCTCCTCCTCCTCCTGCTCCTCCTCCTCCTCCTCCCTCCTCCTCCTCCTCCTCCTCCTCCTCCTCCTCCTCCTCCTCCTCCTCCTCCTCCTGCTCCTGCTCCTGCTCCTCCTCCTCCTCCTGCTCCTGCTCCTGCTCCTGCTCCTCCGCGGCGCCGGGGCAACAAGGCACGAGGGCAGAGGAGCGGGAGGCGCCAGGCGGCCAGGGGGGGGGGCCAGAAGCGAGAGGGCCGCACTCGGAAGATGCAGGACGTCGTGTGCGTGCCCACGGGTGGTGGCACGGGTTTGGGTGGTATTTCGGCAGCAGCGCTCTCGATCAGCGAGGGCGCGGCATGGGGTGAGGCGCAGGTTCCCTCCCAGATCTCCTTTGCAAGTGGCGGGTCATCCTCGGGGGCCGCACTCGGGACCCGGGACCACCAGAAGCGGATCCGGGACGAGAAACTGCCCCGGGGAAGCGGTCGGGACCTCGGGGGGCAGGGACTCCTCTGAGGACACAGAGGGCCCCATGGGACGACGTAGCCCCCGGGGAGGCACCGTGGGGGGCCACGGCTCTGGCGCCGTGGGTGCGCCAAAAAGTGTGGCATCTGGGCGTCCCGAGGCGCATCTGCTCGAGGGAAAAACGCCCTTGGACGTTATGCCGAGCACAGCTTGCGAAAAGCAGGGGGCTGGCGACGACGACGACGACGACGACGACGACGACGACGACGACGACGACGACGACGACGACGACGACGACGACACCGACGACGACGACACCGACCGACGAACAACGACCGATGACCGACGACCGACGACCCACGACCGACGACCGACGACCGACAACGCCCGACGACGACGATGACGACGACGACGACGACGACGACGCCGAAAGACGACGGCCCAGGCGATATCAAACGAAGAGCGACGAAGAACGAACGACGGGGTACGCCGAAGAAGGGGTCCCTCGCCAAAGCGATTCTTCGGCGGAGCGCTCCACGGGCGAAGCGAAGCAGCCCGTCGGCTCCGCGGTCCTGACAGGCCCAATGGTCCCCGGCGACACTGCCTCGGCGAGATGGCTACCGGCGAAGCGGTCGACCCCACCCGGGCCTGCAGGGTGGCCAGCGACGCCCCGCTGGCGCCTCTGGCGCCGAGCTGCCGCGCACCCAGATCGCGCCACGCGCGCGGGTGGCGGGTGCGGCAGGCGCAGGCGCGCGCGCGCGTCGGGGGGGGGGCGGGAGGAGGCCAGGCTAAGCCCTCCGGCAGAGGCGCGCGGGTGCGGCTGGCGGGGACGGGAGCACCCCGCTCCAGCGCCCGCCGACGACGCCGACGCCGACGCCGACGACGCTGACGACGCGGACGACATCGAGCACAACGGCGACGGCGACGGCGACGGCGACGGCGACGGCGACGGCGACGGCGACGGCGACGGCGACGGCGACGGCGACGCGACGGCGACGGCGACGGCGACGGCGACGGCGACGGCGACGGCGACGGCGACGACGACGACGACGACGACGACGACGACGACGACGACGACGACGACGACGACGACGACGACGACGACGGCGGCGGCGGCGGCGGCGGCGGCGGCGGCGGCAGCGGCGGTGGCGGCTGCAGCGACGGCGGATACTCGGGATGACAAGCTGGTCCCAGGGCATGGGTCCAGATCTCTGGGGAACCACGATGTAAAAAAAGCACCACCAGAGGTCTGGGTGGGCCCTCCCGTCTCAAAATTAGCAGGCGAAGGTATAGAATAACAAACGTTGCCGCCACCCTGGGAGAGGCGTGCTTGATGGCGAAAGTGCTTATTTGCCCTTCGCCTGCTAACGAAGGCATGAGTCCATGCGGAATCGGGGCGCCAAGGTGGCCGTCGCAGTTTTTTTTTCTGCAATTCCCTGAGGCTCTCATCTTTGCCCGGCCGATGGGCAATCCAAGGCCGGATTCCCGGCCGCGCGGAGTGCAGCAAAAGCGTGCATACTCTGGAGAGGAGCGAGGCCAGAGGAGCAAAGGCGAGTCTGCAGATCTCAGACTATCCCTTTCCAAGCAAGGAGATCGAGATAGGGAACTAGCTACGTGCGCGGTCCCGCATCTTTGGCGCAACAAGTACTTTGTACGGCTGAGGACGACAAGCAACCGGCAATGCAGCTGCAGGAGTTGCACCCAGGCACGCTCAGGACTCCGGAAACGAACGCATCCGTTCTAGCAACCGTTGCTCACCACCAGACCAGCCCCTTGAGCAGCATGGCAGTGAGGATTGGAGGCGGCCCGGGGGTCTGAGCTGGCTGGGCCTCGAGAAGATCGGCCTCACGAGAGGGGGCCAAGGCAGATCCGCTCAAAATCGAGCCCATGACCCCTCCCGGGGTCCATCTGGTGCACTTTTTCAACCAGGATCCGATCGTCTGCCCCCGGAGACCGAGCCGAAAACAGGCCCGAACACGGAACCTCGAACCTGCCCCACGGTCCTGCTCGCCGGAACCAGTGCTGGGCCACCTCAGACCCACCGACGGCTCCAAGTGAGGAATCCCTACCAACACTGATGGCCCAGGTTCTGACCACGAAAAAATACGTGCGCCTGCGGAGACCCGTCCAGACAAAAGCGCGGCTCGCGAAAGCCGTGGCCCAAAGCTGCGACCCTACACCTATGCTCGCGGGCGCTCGGGACAAGAGCGGTGAATCGCACCTTCGCCTGCGTTTGTAAAAGGACCGAAGCCAGTCTGAATACAGATGTTCACGACGGGTTCGTGTTGTGGCGACTTCGGCGTTGACTCCTGACACCGCGAGGATAATTCAACCATGAACGATCGGTCGATTCGAATACCTCAGATCGTTCAACATTGACCGAGTCTGGCTCGCCGGCGGCGTTCAACGTTACACGCTGGCGGCGGGGTCACCGGCGGTCGACACGACGCGAACCTACCGTAGGAGACCGTCAGCTGTATACCTACACAAATCCTGGCCAGGCCAATCTTGCGTATCCTGTTCCCAAGATCCCTGCAGGCGGCCTCCAACCTTGGCTGGAAAGCCGTGTAAACAGATCCTGAACCTAGGACCGACTTGGCCACAAGCGGTGTAGCTGTATAGCTGACGTGCGAGAGAGCCTAAAAACATCCCACGTGCGGGTTGCCATGACAGAAAAGAGTCCTGGAGGAAACCGACCCGGGACCCCATAGTCGGCGACTCTCCGAAGGGCGTGGTTTGCAGAAGGTGTGGCTTGCAACCGGCACCTGGGGGGGGCACCCTGGGGCGATGGGCGGGGACCTCGACAGAGGTCTGCGCCGCGCCCCGAGGCGTCACCGCGCCCTTTGTAGTCGCCGACGTGGGCTCTGCCCAGGGCCAGCTCTTCCTCCCCAGTCGTTTCTGTGACGGGCCCGGGGCCCGGGGCGGTCCAGGGCCTGGAAGGGGCCCCCGGAGGCCCGGAGCGGTGCGTCAAGCAATATACCTCGTTCCGCCAGGACTCTGTCCGGACCTCCGGCGTTCTGAGTCGTTCGTGCATCGGCGGCGAGCCTCGGGGGGGCTTGAGAAGGGGGAGGGGTCCTTCTGAGAAGGCTCGGAAGGCCTCCGGCCTTCTCAGAAGTGTTCGAAGCCTTCCCCTAAGACAAAAAGAAAACTTCTCACAGGGCCGAAGGGCTTCTGAGAGGGCCCGCCGCCTTCTGAGAAGGCCGTCAGCTCTCACTCCACCCCGGGCGCGCCGCCGAGTTCAATGCAGGGTCCCCGGAGCTTCCCCAGGGCCGCTTTGGTCGCCCAGGATGTGATCTTAAGTGTCCAGAGCCCGAGACGGGCTCACAGACACCACATAATGGATGAGAAACGACCCGAGATGGATGAGAATGACACGAACAAGCAACAACAAAAAACGCCAGAGGTCTGGGGTTTGTTCATGGCGAGCAGGCCAAAACTCGGGCCAGTCAACGCGCCGAGCCATTCGAAGGGCGTCCAAGAGGGGGCGTTCAAGAGAGGGGGGTGAGCATCATGGCCCGAAGGACGTGCGCGGCCCAGGGAAGGACCAAGGAACGTATCGAAATCCTGCTGGCCCTCTGGGCTGAGCTGGTTTAGCACGTCTTTCTTCCATCCTTCCCCCCTGTTGCTCCTTCAGGAAGGGTTTGATCACTGCTCCTGACAGAAATACACACCCTCTCCCGCCTGACCGGCGGCAAACGCGAAACCATGACGACCCCCCCCGCACGATCTCTGACAGAAAACAATGTGAAAAGCACGTTGCGGCAAAATCTGAAACATCGTCGGGCGCCCCACGATCACTATACATGGTTTCGACAGGGACGAGGGGCGAGGCGGCATTTGCCACGCGTTTGCAGGCCCAACGTCCCGGTCGAAAGCAAGGTCCACGTTGCCACGAAATCCTGGAACATGCGCGGGCGCCCGAGATCATGCCGCCATGGTATTTAACAGGACGGATGGGGACGCCCTGGCACACCCCGCGGGCGTCGCGCACCTGGCTGGCGCCCGCATCGGCTCCAGATGGCTGTCGATGGCGATCCGTGTCTGTGCTGAGCCTCGGGTGCCGCTCATGTGGCGGGAGGACGGGCGGGAGGGAGCGAGACGGCCGTCCTTCGGGGTGAGTGGCCTGATCCCTCCCTCCTCCTCCTCCTCCTCCTTCTCATCCTCCCTCCTTCCTCCTTTCCCCTCCTCCTCCTCCTCCTCCTCCTCCTCCTCCTCCTTTTCCTCCTCCTCCTCCTGCTCCTCCTCCACCTCGCCCTCCTCCTCCTCCTCCTCCTCCTCCTCCTCCTCCTCCCCTGTCGGACCGTCCAAGGTGGCCTCAGCGAAGATACAGAAACCAGAGCAGAAGAGAGGCGCAGGTTCAGAGCAAGCAGAATAGAGACGTGGTTGGGGCAGTTTCGGCCTACGAGGGGGCGGGATTACTCCAAGACGCCCCCCACTTTTATTCGCTGGCCTCCAAGATGACCCCTAGAGAGCCCGAAAAGCCTCCCGAAGAGCATCAAGAGGATGCCCAACAGGCCTCGAGGAGGCGCCCAAGCGGCCCCCACGAGGCCCGCAGGAGGCCCCCAAGAGGCACCCAAGAGAAACCCGAAGCGCTCCAAGAGGTCCCCCAAGAGCCGACAAAGGCCCCCAAGACGCCCCAAGAGAGGCCCCTCAGGCGCCCTCAAGAGACCCAAGGCGGCATCCAACGGGCCTCTGGACTCTGGCCCACCGAGGCTCCGCGAGGTGCCCCGCGGATGCCGCACTCCCCCAGAGAAGCAGCTCCACCGGGCACCGTTCCTGGACGGGCTGCCAGGGACACTTGTTTGGTGCCCGGGCGCGCGAGGCGAGTCGAACGCCGTGCAAGCAAGGGCAGGCCGTGCCACAAGCTAAGGAAAATTACCCTGGCGACATACACAACCCTGCGCAGTGCGGCGCACGAGTGCTCTGGGACACGTCATACAGAGGTGATGACGTGACATGGCCGCATATAATTCTGCGAGCGGCATCCGTGAGGCTCGCAGCCCCCCAGGGATGGCGAGGTCCGGCTCAGATCTGCGCAGTGCCTCACTCCGCTGGACCCGCCAGCAGCCCTCGAAAGTGGCGACGGTGTCGCAGATCGCAGCTCCCCAGGGACGGCGTGGTCATGGTGCCTCTTTCCCAAGCATCCGCTCTTGACTTCTCCGACATCCCAAACGGCCGCTTCCCTGGGGGGAGTTCTTTCGTCCAGACTCCGTTTTGGACGGCCCAGGGCCCCCAAATGGTCCCGAAGGGCCTAGATCACGGAAGAAAATAATAGAAAACAAAAAAAAAAAAAAAACGCCGGTTCAATAAATCATGTCGTCGGCGATCTGGGTCCTCCCGGTGGCTTGCAGGCAATAGGTCGGGCCTCCCGCATCCGTTCGGAACGAGGAGCGCACTCGGTGAGGCGCAGCTGCTGGAGAGCACGCCGAGGCGAGAAACCCTACACGAACTGGGCTTGGATCATCTTGCGGGCACGATGTATATCCGTATACGCTGCGTCTTGGACTATGTGGGAAATGGCGCCAACAGGCCGCGGCGCAGTGGACATGGACAAAAACCTGACCTCCACGGGCGAGCTTGTCTTATCCGTATCCACGGCGCCTCCGGCATCGGAGGGGAGCCCAAAAACTCCAAGGCGCCGTGGATATGGAGAAAAAGCCTGCCCGCACATCTGGGACTTCGGGGAGCCTCGGGAGGCACGTGCGAACCCTACCCCTTTCCCCCACGATTTCTGAGGGGGAGGGCTGGGCTCACCTCGCTCGGGAGCTCCCGAGTGAAGTGAACCCCACCCTCCCCCTCAGAAATCGTGGGGGAAAGGGGTACCCCGACTCCAAATCCGCCCTACTTTGGCATTTTTCCCAACTAAAAATTGCGTCGGAAATCCACCTATAAGAGGCCGAAAGAGTAGGGCGGAAATTTCTGCACCCAACATAAAGTGGGGCGGAAATCCACAGAAGTAGGGCGGAAACAGCAGCAGAAGAGCAGGGCGGAAATTGGCATCAGCGGGGCCTGAAAAGTATGAGGCGGAAACTCCAAGCCCCACTTACGAATTTCCCCAAAGTAGGGCGGAGCCGGAGTCAGGGTAGGGTTCGCATGTGGCCCCCTAGGAGCCTCGGGAGGCATCGACCATCGCGCCCCTCCTGGCCGCCCGAGCTGCGGCCCGCGGGCGCGTGCGGGCCGGCCGCCGGAGAGCCGCCACCGGGCCGACGTCCGCCGGGCACCGGGCGGGGAGAACGAACTACTGGCGGCGAAGGGGGGGGCGGCCCTGGCGCGCCGAGAGGGACGAGGAGGAGGACAGAGGAGGAGCAGGAAGGAGGAGGAGGAGGAGGAGGAGGAGGATAGAAGAGGATGGGAAGGAGATCTCGAGGTACGGGAGGATTTGGCGGTATCTTTCGTGCCGCTCGACCCGTACTGCGAGGACCAGGGATGGGGCCAGTTCGCCCCCGACCAATTTCTGCATGAGATCATGATCGTGATGTTGTGTAGCACGTGTTGCATGTGTTAACAGTGCGCCCTTGCGGTCCGATCGGTGTGAGTCAGGAGGACGAGGAGGAGGAAGGATAATGGAGACAAGGCGAGGACGACGACTGGGAGGATAGAGCAGGGGGATGATGATGAGATGGCTCAAGCGCTGAGAAGGAGGAGGGAGAAGGGGCATGAAGAAGGTAAAAAGACAAACAACAAATGCACACAGAAGGTTCACGTCGCGCAAGCGGCTCGTTCAACCTTGAACGATCTCGGCTTTCTGCCAGCGCAAATCGTTCGATGTCTGCCGATGCCAGGTCAGCGGGAGCCCACAAGCTTCAACGCCCGCGCTGGGAGTAAATCTGGGGAGAAGTGGCATTAGGCGAAGAGCAGAAGACGAGAAGCGGCATGACTTCGGAGGTCCGCCTGAACTTCAGGGTCGGCGCTGGACCCTCATCTCAGCACCCCTCCCCCCGGCGCGCAGACCGCGCCAGGAGGGGCGCCTTCCGCCGCCGGGGACGCGGGGAGGGGGGGCGGTCCAGCGCAGGCCCGAGGAGCGTGCGCGGACCTCCGCAGGGTGATGTCTGTGCCGCCCGGCCGTCTTCAGAGGAGCATGTGCTCCGAGCTCGGCCCCGCCGCCGCCCCGCCTGGAGCTTCAGCGGGAAGGGGGGCAGGAGCTGAGCGCTGAGGCTTCCAGCGGGAAGGGGAGCCGAGCGGGCGTTGCCTAGGTCGTGCAACTGCGCCCAGGCCCCGCGCCGCAGGAACCAGAAGTGGGCACGCTGGCGCGCCTCAGCGGGGCGGCGGGATGTACATGTGGTATTCCTGATTGATCTGCTCCTGCAGCGCCAAGTACTGCGTCGCGTGCATGCGGAACTCCTTCTTCTCCTTCAGGCGGCGCTTCTTCTCCCCAGGCGTACCTGGGGGCTGGTCCCAGCTCCGTCCCCAGTGCCGAGTCTAGATCTACGCCCAGGGGTGAGCGCACGATCCCCCATCGCCCCTGTTTCCCCAGATAAACCACAGCCCCAGGTCCGATGACATCCGCCGATCTGACTATTCCAATGCGCGGTCCCGGGGGTCCCGACTGGCTCCCGGGGGGGGGTCGTCCCAGATCCATGTGCGAGCCCCGAGTGCCGAATTCGAGGGGAGGGGGGGGGCGGAACGGCAGTTGGGAAGATCAGACTGCAGGAGAGCTGTGCTGCAATCTGGCGTAGGTCCAGGCCCTCGCGCCCTGGGCCGAGGCCTGCGAACGGCCCCAGGCGGAGACCTGGCGGGGCCTCTCCCCGCGCGGGGCCCCCAGCGGGAGCGAGGGCCCAGAATTTGATGCGGGGGAGGGGGGCGGCCGGAGAGACCCCGGCAGGAGACGCCGTGGGGATCCAGTAGACAGAGGAAAACGGACCATGCACATACACCGATGTTGGCCAGGTCCGTCCTGAGCCCAAGATCGGTGCGTACGCCGAGGAAGGCATAAGCACCGATCCTGGGGCCAAGGATGGGCCTGGCCAGGACTGCTGCATGTGCATAGTTCTCTTCGCCCGAGTAGAGGCCCCGCAGGGATCCCAGGGGACCGCGCAGGGGAACCCGCCCTATGTCCTGATCTGCCTCGTCCGGCCGCTTCTGTGCCCCAGGCGTACACAAGTGGCAGAAAGGACAGTCGATGCCGTTCTCGCAGCCCTTCGTGTGCAAGAACGCGCAGGGCTTGCAATTGCGGGTTCTGTGCCCCAGCGAGCCGATCGTGGGCATGTCCTTGGAACCTAGCTCTGGCTCCTCAAAGAGAACAAAAAGATCATTGCCGATGCCTCCTTTCAAGTCCCCAGACCTCTCCTGGGGCTCTGTCTGGCCAGGATCCCCAGGCTCACCCAGCCGCGGCGACGAGGACCTTCCAGAAGGCCCAAAGTGGGCGACAACGAGGCCAGGGCACCCTTATCCGAAAATGTGTCTGTCTCTTCCAGCTCCTCGATGGCCGAGGCGAGCTGCAGGATGATCTGGGGCGCCGCCAGCTTGGAAGCAAGGTTGAGCCTCGCGGGGCTGCCGTCATCGGGCTCCCGGTCGGGCGCGAACCCGTACCCCGACGTCAGCTCGGCGGCGGGCTGGATCTTGATCGGCTCCTGGGACTGCGTGGGCGAGGCGGTGCCCCGCGTGCTCGCCGCCGTGGACGTGGACGGCGAGTACTCGCTCAGCGCCATGGTGGGCGAGGACACCCGGAGCGGCAGCAGCTCCAGCCCCCTCTCCTGCTTCGCAGGCGTGGACGGATCTGCCACCGGCGGCGCCGACATATCCCTCGTCGGCCTCCGCCGCTGGGGGCCCAGACCTGCGCCGCGCGCGGCCTCTGTGCAGCCCGTGGGCCCCCGCGGCCTCGGGGCCCTCGGGCCCTGCCGCAGAGGGGGCGCAGCGTCTCACGGCGGACCACCTCTTCGCGGCGCCCCGGCCGACCACCTTGGCAGATGGCCCCCGGGGGCCGAGAGCACGGCCCGCGGGCCCAGACTGAGAAAGCGCCGGGGCTCAGAGGGGCACGGCCCGCCGCAGGTCTGGGAGGCTGGCGGCGGGCAGGGCGAGACG